CTCCCATTTTGTCCATCTTTATAAACAGTCACCCTGGACAGGTCGCCAGCCCACAGTGCTGACAAGTAGAGACAAACATATGCATATATATGTATATAAAAATACAAAATCAGTTTTGGTTTGTTTGTACATAACAAAATGCAGTTATCTCCCATGCATCAGCCACTAGAGCTGACCTCTGAACCTTATAGAGCTGAAACCTTTTTGTCAGTAAAACCACAACACTAATCCTGTAAAACCCCTGAAACCATCAGCGCCTGATGACAGCGGTGCTATCCATCACTCAGTCGATCTGCTGACAAGACTCAGTTGAAGAAGTTCAGCGTGGTGTCGAGACGCAGAGCAGACAATCCCACAGATCGTATCAAACACTAAAGAACAGCCACATCACTGAGGGCCTTACTTTGAAAGAGTCATTACCTGTGCCCCCCCCCTCACTCAACCCTCATCTCTATCCCTCTTCTCTTATCTACCCTTCCTCAGTATTCCTCCTCCTCTTCGGCGTGTCCCTGCAAAGCTCCAGGACTCCCAGAATATCTGAGATACACTATCGTGCAGCACGGTGGGAAATTAAGAAACAAGGAGAAATAGAAGCAGCATGTGCTCAGAGGAAGACATAACAAACAAGTTCTGGGTTCTGATGCTCCCTTTTGGATTTAGTCAGGTTGAATGTTTTCTGAAGCAGAGCAAGAAAAACTTTTCTGCCTTTTTCTTTTAAAATTCAGTAAAATCGGAAAAAATTGTAGATCTCTGTCCCACTTTAAATCCTTCAAATGAAATCAATCAATCGGTCAAATGTATTTATATAGCACAGTATCACAACAAACAGTTGTCCCAGGGTGAAATGACTGGTGCTTGAACTTGTACAACTCATGTCCTCGGCCACATGTGTCCTGAAATTCTCTTCAAATTATTGATGATAACGTAAAATAATTGCAGAACATACAAAACATTTTTTAAATAAAGATAAAAGCATATTTGAAATTTAAGAAGAAAAATACAATGGAAAAATAATCAAATACAAAACTTATCAAAACGAAACCTGACATACTGCAAAAGCAAATATTGCTATTGTGACTTTTGCCGCAACCAACTGAACCAAAACGTAAACAGAGATAAACCACAGAACGAATGTGTTTGGATGTCACACGGCTCTGCACCATCACAATACCCCATGCAAACAGAGCCGGGTGCAGAGGGAGAGAAAAATAACCAATATATTCTGCACTGAACCTGAACACACACAAAAAAGGAGAACAGTAACAAAGATAGATTTCACCATGACATCATGAGGAAAAGTTTCAGTCATTATCAAAACAATGCAGCAGGACTTGTCATTGTTCTCCAATTCTGGGCACGACTCTTATCCTCGGTTCTGCATTCTTTGTATAGTTTATATTTAGTCAAACAAACGTCATATGTTTCTCTGCTCTTGTTTCCCTTTGGGTCAACGTTTCACATTCTGTTATCTAGAAAGACACAGACTGGGGCTGGGTTATAAAACAACATCAATATAGTTTTCATCAATAGTAATATAACAAAAATTCAACATATCAATATTAATAATTCTTATGCATTTTGCACAGTGAGGAGGTTTAACATGTTAGTGATCGACATCAGATTTTTTAAATGTTTTGCTGTATCAAGTGCCATTTTCTGCTCATTCATGGAGATTATTATCATTATCATCTGATACAACATTTTTTATCTTGATATCATTCTTGACCACTTCATCCAGCACCAGAGTAGACAACTAGAAGGGATCTTGAAGTCTAGAGAGAGTAAAGAAAATTGCACCGAAAATTCCCAGAAGTGGACTCAAATCAACTTTATGCAACATACTTTCTGTTTTGAAGCAGATTAGGTAACATATGATGAGGCGAGAGGATAAAGAGAAGGAAGCACAATAGATACACATGAGGAGGAGGATATTGGTAAAGATGATATGACTTGAACCCTCCCAGACACCTGAGAGGGGAGAGATGCTGCAAACTGGAGCCACGTTAAGCCTCTTAATTGTTTGAGTGACATTTGGGAACAGGACTCTCAGGCTGCACTGACTGAGTCCAGGTCAGATATTATCACTGGGCCTGGAAACATGATCGATTCAGCAGCACTTTACTAGACTGAGTTCTCTCCTGTCACAGGGCTCCTCAACTGATTTTCTCCTTTCTCTTTATCTTTCTTCTCGCTGAAACCGTCCCTGACCCCTGAACATGTCCCTCCTGCCTGGACACAGGTGAGTGAGGGTAACAAACATCTGTAATCTCTTGCTCTGAGTGGGGGAGAGAGCAGCAAAACTTCATCCACATCTGCAGCTTTGCTTTTGCACAAACGTCTCAGGGAACAGTTGTATAGAGAACACACAGATTCCTCACAGGAAGACCCCAGCCAATCAAATGGCTTTTGAATCAGGAATCATCTTGCTTTGAGGTGACAGAGCGAACCACCGTACCACCATGCCACCGCGCCACCCTCTTATTTCACCAAACAGAAAGTCAATAAAGTTTCACAATTATCACATTTCATTATGTGAGTTACTTTTCAGGTTGTCCGTCCGTCCCACTCGTGAAAACGCGACACCTCAAGAAGTTTAATAAAAACATTCTGAAAGGTCAAGGTCACTGTGACCTCGTGAGAAACATGTTTTGCCCGGTGAACACGATATCACCAGAACACCGTGAGGGAATCTTTTCACATTCAGCACAAACATTTACTAGCAAAAGGTCAAAGGTCAAGGTCACGTTTTTTGCCTCTTGAACATGATATCTCAAGTCTGCCTTGAGGGGATTTTGACCAGTCATCACTCGAATGCAAAGAATAACTGATTAGATTTCAGAGGTCAAAAGTCAAAGGGCACGGAGACCTCGTGAAAACTGCACTGGTTGGAGGAGGCATAACTGCAGGGTGGTAATTCTAGTGAGCCCCTAAAAGTCCCCGAACACCAATTTCAAATAAATTTGTTTGGTTTCAAAAGAAACTAACGAATATTCCCTGGATGAATGACCCAGACCAACGGGAGTCGTCATGATTTCACAAACTGTTCCATGGCATCTGGAAAAAGTTCTGCCTCTGCTGTTAAAATCGTTTTATAACTGTCAGGGAAAGATACGATCGCAGACAGCAATCACCTCCCAGCATTCCTCAGCTCTGACATCTCCTCACCTGCCTCGCCCGTCTGCCTGTCAACCTTCGGTTCAGATCCTGATGGACGTAATGAGGAGGAATTAAGTGTAATTACAACACAGCAATCTGCAGACAATGGGAACAATCCTTTTGTTTTCCCTCCCTGACTCATTACCTGTCAGATCAGATCCAGACTGAAAAGTGTCGACACATCAGTTTGACACAGTTTCCTCCCTGCTTCAGTTAATTGTTGGGATTTAGCCCCACCTCTAGGACCCATCATGTATCATCATCATCATCATCATCTCTATGTAGAAATACTATGATCTCACACTGTTATCATCATGAGAATGTAAAGTTTAAATAAAGTGAAACCTATATTACTCAAATTATCTTAAAGATTTTGAATATAATTAAATGATCAAGTTGTTTAAGTTTAATAAAATGTGGTTAGTCTTACATAATGATATATAATACTGTATATAATAAATAATAACCTGCGACTTTCATCAATTCAAACGAGAAGAAGCAACTTTATTGCAGGGACCCATGAACCCTCCAAATGATGAGATGAAACCATTAGAGTCTTATTTTTGTTCAGGATCGAGTTATACAATTTAAAACCTCCTGCTCCTCATTGAAGTGTAAAAACCATGATACCCCTCATGTTGTTAAATCTGCCTTGTCTTATCTGAAGTTGTAAGAGTCTCAATACAGAAAGTTTTAGACAAATTTAAAGAGATGACACAAAGCATTTACATTATCATGACCTCAGGGTGTCCCCCACACCGGATATTCTCCCCCCCAAGGAGACGATCAGGGCCGGGGCGTCCTGTAATGGAATGTGCATCAAACAGAACCCACATCCTCGACCATCCAAGAATGTTGGGAATGAGGAGGAATGAAATCAGTATTTGAGCCAGGAATAATAAAAAGAAATATTTGTAGGGATCTGTGGGGAGTTAGAGGAAGAACAAATAGCAGCTCAGCACATGAGGCCTGTTGTCCTGAACTGGTGAGACCCTTCAGCAGATTCCCTTTGGATGGGATGAAAAATAAATCATCTGTAAAATGTAAGGTTCCAACTACGTTATAACATGTTTCACATTCACTTGTTAGAAATTAATAGAAAGTTATGTGAAAGATGTCAGTGTAAGAAAAGTGTAAGAGGTCATTTCAAATATGGAACAAAAGGTCGAATGAAGAAGAACAGAGGATGAGATGAGACAAGATAAATAGAAATGAATAATTAAATTATTATTATTATATTTGTATTATTATGTGGAAAATGTATAAAGATTAGAAATACCCCCCCCCAAAAAAAGATGATGAGTGTTTACAACGCAGTACAGAGTTGCCCTCTGGTGGTTGTAACTATCACTGCTCACTAGTGTTGTTGGATGAATTTCAATCATTCATCAGAGTTAAATAAAGAGGACATTAATAATAATAATAATAAGATCTTTATTTTAAAGCACCTTTAAAAACAAAGAGACAGTGCTTCACAAACAAAAGGCAAAGGCATGTACAATTACACAAAAACAACATTCGAACAAATAGAAAGATGTAAAACCGTTGAAATTAACAATAAATAAAAGTACAGAACGATAAAATAAAGGTATTAAAACAGTAAGATTCATTTTAAATCCATATTTACAGTTTACGTTGTAGCTCGTGAATCTTCGAGGGGCCGTTTTCAGCGTCTGTTGCCGAGGCAACGCCACGCGAATCCGAGATAGGATTCAACAGATCAGAGCAAGATGACTCACTGTGTTCCTAATTTCCTGACACCGGAACTAAGTGAAAATACTAAACGTCCATTGGCTCCAGGTGAGAACTCCTGTCGTTGATTGGCCAACAAAGCTGCTGCTCGGTGGTGAAGAGGAGCTGCTGCTCACGGTTCATCGTGAAGAAGCAGTAACAACAACAACATGGCAGAGGAGAGGTTTGCGTTTGAGCAAAGTTTTTCTTTTAAGGCTCTTCCCACCAGGAAGTTCTTCTTCCTGCAGGACACAGGGGTTTCAGCGCTGTTAATGAAATGGTAAATGAATCTAACGAGCCAGGAAACTGTATTAAATTCATTTTCTAACGTACTGCTGATGAAGGGACGTGTGTAATTCCAGGTCCATGCAGGGAAGGATCTCAGCTCAGTCTTTCAGCTTTGATCAGAACTTTCACTCTTACAACTGTGAAAGGTTTGCACTGGTAAGATCCACTTTATTATATAATCACATACTTTAACTGGAAATATATAAACTAAAATCTAAAAAAACAATACAAATACATTTATAAACTCGTATACTTATACACTCACTAACAGAACATGATGGGTTACTGAAAACTATCCTTAACATGTTAGTTGCTCAGATATTTTTCAACTAATCAATTTAAAATTTAAGATTTGATATAATGAAACAATATGAACGTATTGAGGACAAAAAAAAGGGAGGTTTATATTTTTTACGCTAAATTACAAATGAAATAAAATAAACTATATATTTACTATATACTAATAAGTTAAGTGAAATTAAATCAATCTGCAAATATTTTCAGAGTTGATTTATTCTCAGTTTGGCTTGAAAATGTGCTGCTTTTCTTTTTCATACATGATGGTTATAGCAAAGGAAAGAGACTAATGAGGAAAATAGTTGCAGCCCTAAACTGAAATCTATATTTTGACATTTTGAGTCCTGGAAAAACTTAAGTCGAAGTAAATTATTATCATGAAAAACAAATACAGCAGGTTGTGTGTCGTGATGAAAATGTTTTCCATGTGTTTGATTGTATTTGAATGCTCCTGATGTCACTCTGTGTTTGCAGGATTTCTTCAGAGACCCTGATGTGGTATCCTGTCTGAAAAAGATGGAGGCCGGAGTCTGGGTGCCTCTTGGTATGCAACATTCCCCAGAATGCCTTTCATCGCTGATCATAGGAAATTGATGTCATCTGCCAGACGGTCAGATCCCTGTGGAATGTTTTTGACGTGTGTGTGTGTTGTAGACAAGCCTGTGGTGTCTGTCCATGTGGAGGTGATACCATGCACCGAAGTCTCCATGGAGCTCTTTGACCCAATCTTCTCTTGTGGCATCCTGAGGCCCACTGGACATGTAGTTAAATGCTTTCACGATGTCTACCCCGACTATGATGAACTCAGACAGGTGACTCTCTCTCCCTCCTTCATCCATCGTTTGTCTCCTCTATATTGATCATTTTTGACTCGTGGCCGGTGCACATCATCCTCTGTTCCTCCAGATGCTGCAGGAGGAGGACACCGAGCACTACTACGTGGTCGGGAGGGAGCAGCGGGGAGAGTTTCTGTTTCGCCTCTTCAAGCACCTGTGTCTTGGTGGAGAGCTCTGTCAGTACGAAGACACCATCCACCCTTACATCAACACCACCAAGCAAGTGTACAAAGATCTGATCAGGCGAGTAGAGTATAATACCACACGTTTCCTTACAACTTCATATGTACATTTGAGATTTAGATAGATTTGTTTGGCTAAGGTGGAGGCTGAAGCCGATCCCATAACACCTACCCTTTTACTACACAAATAACTGAAGATACACATGACTGCACATGACTTTACTTTTAACATCTCTAACACCAGAGCATAAAGGTAAAATCAAGAATTAATTTTTTTCATTTATCAGGTGTCTCATATTTATCTATCTCTATTTCAAACAGTATTTAAAAAATATGCCCTTATCTTCTGAAATATACACTTCCTTTAAGTTCCTATTTACCATCTCTACCATGTAATATTCTTAATATGTTTGTATGTTTTTTTTAATCATCTTATTCTATAATCAACTAAATCATTAAGTTTGTCATTTTGTAAACAGGTCATCTGTTGGTTCTTCGTGATGGGATTATTTCTTATTGTTCCTTTTTGTAAAATGAAAACTGGATTTGTCTAAGTTTTGCAATTATTCTAGGCAATAGCAACATATGGAGTATCTTGCCTGTGTAAATTATAAGAAGTTTATTCTGTAGTGTTCAGAAGGATCCAGACACAAAGAGGATCAGCGTTGTTTCCACGGTGCTCAAAGTCAGCACCTATGTAAGTTACTGATTCACTTTCACGTTTTGTTTCTTTCACTCTTACAAGTGCATCAAACTAAACACTCTGTTCATAACTTCTAATCGTAACTAAATCAGTAAAACATCTTATTCAGCAACAGCCATTTCTCAAAACTTCAAACGCTATTATTTCTCCCTCGCAGGATGAATCTGGACGTTGTTTCCCTGGGATACAAGAGGAGGAGCAGACGTTTGCCTATTTGATTGTCGACCCCTACAGACGTCATGTGACTTTGTTCTGCCACTTCTACGGTGTTGGAAACTTTACACTATGACATAAAGAAATCCATAATCCGTAAAAGCTCTGCCGTCAGTTAACTTTACTTTTTTTAGGAATTCGAGTTACACAAGGGAAGAAATAATTTTGTTCTTCCAACTTATGTCAATGTTTTTTAACCTGTACTTGCTCTAAATAAATGTTTGTAAACTCAAAAAGACAAAGATGAAATAATTCTTCAAGTAAACCTTCTTGACAAATAATTTACCTGTTTACTTTTTTCTATTTTCTATAAGTCCAAGGGTTGATTGTTTTTTGTGCAAAAGAAAAGCGAGAAGCCAACATACAGTCAAATAGCTTTATTGAAACAAATAAATTAATAAGTTAGTCAAGTTAGCTAATTTTATCCTCCGCAGATACACATCTTTGTATCTCTTCAAAAGATCAAACAGAGGTGTGCATTAGATTAGAAAATAAGATAAGCGCCATGTGTCATTAACCATGTAGCTACATCAATTGGAATTGGAAGACTTTGTTAGTTTAGCATTTTGCTTATTGCTTCGATCAGTTCGAGTTTTGTTTTCAACAACAGCTCCAACACCTAAGAGAGCAGTTAAAGGGCAACGAGCTGGAATGTCAAATGGCAGCAAGTCAGTGAACAATGGACGGTGAAGACGTCAAGAACAGAGTGAAACGAGAAGAGAGAACGTGCACATTTGAGTCATGCATAGAATTCAGTCACTTGGACAATCGGTTACTGCTTCTCATACTTGGTTTCCTAGACTAGTGCCCCCTAGTGGCCTCAGAGGTAGTTGTGTGGAAGCCATTCAGATCTACGTGACGTGCTTATTACGAAAGGAGACATGCCTGCAGAATTTCCTGCGGTGATAGAAATGCCCGTGCCTCCAAATCTGACAAATGTTCAAACACAGTAAGGACGTCGATGCTAGGTCCTGGGTTAGTTGCGATGATACGTTAAACATACAGTAAATATTCTCTGAAAATATTAAAGTTCCTCATAAAAGGCGAACACCCTTGAAAACTATGTGTTCATAATAATTTTGATGATTTTAAACATTTTCTTTGCAAAACAAAAAAGGCATGGCTGTCGTCATGGGGCTGATATCTCAATGAAACACTGTGGTCTTGGAAGCAGCACTGATATTTTACGTTTGAGATAGAAAGCCGCAACGTATCAGTTACAGAACAAGGACATAGAAGGCACAAGTCATTTCCTTTCATGTTTGACTCAAGACTCTACAGAAGACATCCTTAATTATTATTACTTTTTTCTAATACTGGGGCCGCCACTAACAACAACATGCAATACAGTGGTCTCACAGACATTTTTTAAAAAGATCAACATTCCAGGTGACGATGAAGTGACAGTGTGACGACGCCTCTAATAACGAGGCATCTCTTATCATTTAGGCCAAAGAATGAAACCACGTACCTAACGTTTCTATTCAAAACGAACGCAAAGAGTTAAAGATGCCACTTTGTTCCTCATGGCAGAGAGAGCAGGAGATCATAAAAAGATGGAGCCATGAAGTACATTCACTGTTTGAAGTCTGAGCTTGGCTTGAATGGAGAAGTGGAGCACCTGAGTCAACTGGCTTGACTGAAATACATGAATCACCTTCAGGAACAAAAAGTATTTTCCCTAGCCAAATACAGTATGAGTGAGTGTTTTCTTATTTGAATCTACCGACACCAAAAAGAAAATGATGAGCTCAAAAAGAGCTTTTGTGAGTCGTGTGTGAACCTGATCCGCTGCATGTTACAGTTGTGTCATCCATGATTATATTTATTTAAAAATCGCATCTAACTGAATTCAGTTTGTTAAATTAAACCCTACATTCACTTTATCAAACACAAAAATCATTTAAAAAATATTTGCTATTGTAGGTTACACAAAAATAAGTGCATGAACATAATTACATCAAGGAAATCAAAAATAAATGATGATTTTATACATAAAATGTGTTATTTTCAAGTGCCAAAGTACTTAAGTAAAGAAATTGTCTTCATTTCGTGTGTGTGTCTCCAGTTTTGTCCACGAGCACAGAGCATTTTCTGTGCATCAAACATCTCCGAGAAAGAAAAGACAGGAGACAGTACAGTGGATTGGCAATGACAGTAACACCTATAAGTGATGGCTGGAGCTCAACCCTGCTGCACGCTGTCTGTTCGTACTGAAGCTGTGAGGCTCGAACCGTTTCCTAAGAGACAAGCGTTCATGAGGTTAAAGGCCTGGAATTCATATGACCCAAACACTTAACAGGTTGTTCGCTGTGTAACAACTGCTCCAAAACTGGCCGTAATGTCTCTGCAAGTGAATGCAGCATGGACGAGGAGGAGCCTCCAGGGAGAGAGGATGTGAAGTACAAATGACCACCTGAACCGGAGGGCGTGGTAAAACCTGACCTGAGGCTCGATGTGCATTGCGAGGAGCTGTGCAGAAAATGTGTCAGACGTCGGAAATTCTGACAGAGGATCGGTGAGGTTTTATCTACAGGACTCATCAGAGGGAACATGCATGTTTGGAGGGTGGGCAGCAAGACAGAGAGCTTTACAAGGCATTTTATAAAAAACAAACTCAGGTTACGGGAGCACTTAAAGAGGAACAGAAGCCTTTTAAACATTGCAAAGGAGGGATTTCAGAGCCATTAAAGGACATTTTGGCTCCATGAAATCCTCCCTTGAATGCAAGCAAAACGTCTTTTTTGCAAGTGGGCTTGTTGGAGACAGAATTTCTCAGAGAAGGAATGAAGGTCAAAACAAACTGTACACGTGAGTCAATCCAACACATTCATCCGGCTGTTTTCACGTGACAGGTTTGGGCGATAAAAGCAGGGTTTGCACATTTAAAGCTCCACCGTCTGGGTGGGGAGGGCAACCATGGAGGTTTGGTGCTTTGGCGAGGTGGCTCTCCACCCAGTCTGCCCGTCCAAGAGAGCAGATTATTTCACGTTAGAAAGGCTCTTCTAGTTATACATTTGTTGTTATGGTAGGGTGAATGGAAAGTTTACAGGTCGTACCCATCACAGAATAGTGACGTTATCCTGTGGTGCTGCACCACACTTGCAGCAAAGTCAGAAAACTCTCCGTCAGTTGGTTTAAGCGGCCAACAAAGAAAAAAAAACTGAAATGATGAGAGATAAGATTTCTCCAAAAATTTACAAAACTGTAACGCTCAAAGTCGGATTATCTACAGCTGAAGCATAAAAAGTTGGCGTCAATAGAAAGCATGGGGTGAGCGGGTGAAAGTGGTTCAGTAGTCAAGTAATCATGGTTCACGTGCTCCTCTCCGTATCCCCGTCCTCGTCAAGTGGGTCGAGAGGGGTGTCCGGTGAGCAGCTTGGTTGAGGCCATGTGGAGGCCTCTGTCTGGATCAGCTGGGGAAACACATTCGCTTTAAAGACAACAGATGAGGATGTGGATTTTAGATACAGGAGGATGATGGTTGGGCTGCTCAGAGGACTCAGAGTGAGGACTCAGTCAAAGGAAGATGTGCTATAGAGGACTGTGTGTGTGCAGCTCACTGTCATTCCAAGTTGCCGATATCGGACCGTGAGATGTCGAGCGTGGTGGCGGAGGGGAAGAGGTCTCTTTGGTCCGTGGGGCTGTGGTAGTCGGAGGTGAGGTCTGGGTCCAGGAGGGAGGACAAGGTGAAGTTGGACGAGCCTTTCTTTAGGCACTGGGAGTAGAAATTGAGCAGGAGGTCCAGCTTGTTCTCTATGGACTGAACCTGAGAAAGCACACAAATGGAAAGTTCTTTTGCACAATTTATTTTGCACATCTAGGATAGTTTTCTCGTGTTAAAGCGGAGAGAAGCATTTTTTGCAGGGAGTTTATTTCAATCTTAGATCCTTAGGTTTCCAAACATTAATGTCTTAAAGTCCATTCTATTGGTTTCAGAAAAGAAACTAATACATTTAGAAGACATTCTAGTTTTTTCAGGATTTTTCACACTTTCTGGAAGCGTGTCAAAGAGGAAAAGTCAATAATTCCATTGTGTCAATTAATTTTATTGTTTCAATCCCTTCAGAAATCGTAGGAGATTCTTTACTTTGCCATGTATCATCGCTGGCTCTGATAAAATGGAGTCTTAATGGTTTCATGTATTGAACACAGAAGCTGAGTATTTCTTATCACTCTAGGAAAAGGTCTCAGCCATTAGTTGTCAGCGTCTCTTGGGAGCTGTGAAAAAGATGGAGTGATGAAAGAAAATCCATCGACTAATTGGAACAGACATTAACATCATTCCCTCAGTTTATTGCACTTCCTGTACATTTTATGGCAGCTTTTCATTACATTTACCAGCGTAAAAGTGATCCACGTAGATTTTTTTAATAGCTTATATAATTACACAGAAAACACAGTTCCACAAATGGACAAATAAATCAAACTACCCTTCTATTACCTGTTTCTCCACTTTGACTACACGTCCCATCATGCTTAGCTCATCCAGTGGATCCAGTTCTGGCGGTGTCTTTTCTCCTTTCTCAGGGCGTGTCTTCTTGTCGGGCTGAACAGCTCCTCGTCCAATTATCTGGTCCACCCTTTCGCACAAACACAATATAGTATATCCAATTAAAGTTGTAATAGCTTGGCTTTTTTTTTTCAGTGTATTAGAATGCTATTTTCTTTCCTGTCAAGATTTGGATGACAAGAGCCAGAATTATGGTGCATTCACACCAAACACCAATCAAATTTTTTCCACAATGAGATTAAATGCAAAGTCATTGCAGAGACTCAAATAGAATTGAAAGATGCAAAATTTGTGTCATTTGCTAAAACATATTGAAACTCAAGCAAAACAATTTTGAACAGGAAAACATTTGATTTGCATTTGGTGTGAAAACGAAAACTGTTTCAAATGGGTGAAACCTACCTCATCTGCAGACTCTTGATGCGGCCCAGCATGTCCAGGTGTCCCGCAGAGTACTGCTCTATGACGTCCTTCACATCGTACGGACGCAGTGTCTCCTTGAACTTCCTCTTGGCCACGAGGAACTTCAAGATCCTACATGTGTTGCAAAAACAAGCCCCACATCACACACGCACATATGTGGACGTCCAGTAAACCTTTGTGAAAATGCAGGGCCAGCTATCAAATGATGGGGCCCACCCTGAGAATAACAAGATTAATTACAGTCAGAGTGACCTTATCATTCCCAAACAGCTCCATAAAGAGAGCAGAGCAGCCCCTCTTACTAAACCATGCGTGTATATTGGGATGATGACAACATCTTCCAGAGACATTTGCTTATCAGGACTTGCTGTTTCAGCAATTAACACAGACCCACAGACAGGAATAACACACACACTGTCAGAGCGTCGCCCTGATTCTCCTCTTTTGTTAGTGTGACAGCCATGTTGGAGCCACTGGTGGACCACAGCTGCTCCCAGTCCCAGTGGACACAGCTCATCATCGCTATCCACATCCCTCTGCGGGGGAATCACACTGAGGAATGTTGACCCAGCACCACTGTATCCGCTGAACACATACCTGCAAATATCCTCTGCCAGAGTTGCGGTGGTTGGAACGTCATGCTGAGTGTGAGTGTCTGTGTGTCTGTGTGTGTGTGTGTGTGTCTGTGGGTCATTCAATTCCTTTCTTGTCATTTATTGGATAGGAAGCTCAGAGATGACACAAAATATCCACACTCAAGCTGTCATCTCATCCTGTGATGGATTGCATGATGAGTCAATCCGGGAGGGATTGAGGAAACACTATCTCTCACAGCCAGATGACTAAACCCTCTATAATAATCCCAGTTGCCCTCACAGGAGGAAGAAAAGGAATCACATCAAAGGTCTGGGGAAGTGAAAGATCAGAACCGCTCAGCTTTTTCGAGAAAACATCACACACATATCCACAAAAACCACACACATGCACAAAAACAAAAATACAATGCCACAAATGCGTTGTATCTCGGTCACACACACACACACACACACACACACACACACACACACACACTAGTAACACAACCGCACACAAGCTAAACAGGAGCAAGTGAAATTTGAACTTGTGAGAGGGGTCATTTTCTGAAATAACCATGGTAACCTTTGTGTGGGCCTGCAGCGCTTGCATTTACTGCAGCCACACACACACACGCAGCACATAGATTTGTGTAGTGACCGGGTGCTGCGACAAAGAAGAGGAGAAGGTGCAAGCGAAGGAGAAGAGGAGCGAGAGGAGGAGGAGTGGTCCACAGCTGGTGCCGTAACAGCCGTCAGCGCACTCTTCCCCCTAACACAGCACTCTTATTTCTTGATGACTCCTACACTTGGGGTATTTCGCAGGCGGCCTTTTCATATTTTGCAGGTAGATGCAGATTTTTTTTTTGCTGGGGTGGGTCTCAGGTGCAGGTAAAGAAAAAAAACTGGGGGGAAAAAGAGGGGGGCTTTTGAATTGGATCCTCCAAGGGTTTCCTCAAAATGCTGACTCTTTCTCAGTTGATGAAATATCTTTCATTATACGTGGTCAGGTCTACCGCCAGAAAACTTCCAGGTACGGTGCACGCAGTGGTACAGTACATCTTGCACTGCTCACAGAAAGATATTATACTGTACCTTCCTAACGTTTGGAAGAGGAGACGTAAAAACTCAGCGGCGAATAGAGGCACAGGAAATGTCATCTGTGTCCCAAAATGCTTGCATAGCTAGGGCAATATTTTCTGCAGCTCAGCAAAGGTGGATCCCTGATAGTCTCCAGTGGGAAGGTTTTAACTTGACTTAAAAATGACTGTTATGCTGACACATTTCCTGGGAAGGCCAAGTAGGGTGAGCCACTGCAGGGACGACTCTGATTCATAAGTGAACAAAAAGTTAATGCACGAGCTGCACTATGTGTATTCAATCATTCTTACAGAAATATACTGCGTAAACATTATACAAGTTTTAAAATATTACAGCTGAAACACAAAAAAAAACTGATGACGATGACGAAAGATGAAATGGATATAAATAGTAAGCATGTCCAAACTATTTATTTAATAAAGCAGGCACTTCCCCTGAGACTGCAAATGTGCAGAGATTTTGTGTTATGCGCAGTATTGGATTTGTGCATGTGAAGAGTCACAGCAGAAAGAGCCTTGTTTTCCCAACCTCTTCTTCTTCTCCTCCCTCTACCTTCCCCCCCATTCGTAAACAGAACACCGTATGCATTTATTCAGACAGCCCGGCACTGATAAACCACATGCATCTCTCTAAAGTGAAGCCTCAGCACTAAGGCCTCCTGCAAAACCCTGTGTTTCAAGTGCGTCAGTTGTGAACCTCATACGACACTGCATGAGCATGTGCGTGTGTTAGCACCTGCTGTGTACACACCTGCACTCTCTCTTGGAAGTCCCTCTCTACTATTGTCTGCGGCGCAGAGCAGCTGAGGTCAGAGCTATTTGCTGAGTCAAGTGCAAACCCGAGGAGGGATCATATAATACCCTATCAGTGGTCTAACAATATCAAGCAATAATACATCATGCTGCATCCCGGGAACGGAAAATATTCTCCTGCTGTACGTCTGTGAAGGAGAAACCTTCAGTTTAAGAGTTCACAAAGCTCCTGGTTCAGACAGCTGACACTGACAATGTTCTCAAATGGACAGACGACATTTATCAAGTGCTTTTACCCAAAAAGAATTACAATCTGCCTCCAACCTTCAGGATGCTTCAACATGCAACAACTGTGATGAATGGATGATTGCCTAGGACACATGAGCGGCTTATAGGGATACTTCACCCAAAAATGAAAAGTCACTCATTATCTACTCACCACTATGCCGATGGAGATGTGGGTGAAAACACTTTTGGAGTTTCAGGGGTAAATAAATGGTGACCACTCTTGAAACTTAAGAAAAAAACTAAAACAGCTTTAAGTTCTCACTAATGTCGTCACATGTCCCTGGGGCGAGACCATAGGGGCGTGAGCTTGTGCGGTGTGTGTGCGCGCGAACGTGAACACAGCTCTGAAGGAAGATCACAGCGGACATTTAGACTAAAACATGGTGTAAATGACACTGTTTCGGGTCGAATTTGAATGTCGGGGCTTACTGACACTTGACAACACAGGAGCAGTATGGAGGCCTCTTGTGTTTTTCTTCTGTTGTTTTTTTACGTTTGAAGAATCGGTCACCATTTTCTTCAGTTGCATTAAATTTGGCTGCAACACTGTTTTCCCCTGAAACTCCAAAAGTGTTTTGTGGACTCAAACACTTCACCCACCCCTCCATCGGCACAGTGGTGAGTAGATAATGAGTGAATTTTCATTTGTGGGATAACTATCCTTTAAGAGACATTTAGTAAAAATAAACAAATCATTACGTGAGTCACTAAATTGTATTAGTTTATGACATGGTATCATACAGCATGAAATTTAGCATTGTCTCAAAATGTAAATACTAATATAACACACACTGATGTAGATCAAGTACATAGAGTAGAGGTACAATCAGAGTAGCTACAAAAAGAAACACTACAGTTTTAATAAAAATGAAAGTTCAGGGAAGAAACGTAACGAATGGAGGTTAGTTGAAAGAGAGAAGAGAAGTTATATTCTGCTCCCATCAGACCCTTCTGAGCACCAACACCAGATGTTTTCTGGGAATTGTAGTTTTTTTCTGCCACAAACAATAAGGAACGCTGTGTACAAGTATATATATATATATATATGTGTGTGTGTGGGTGGGGTATGTTTACACAACTATGATTAATTACGAATTCATTTATAATCATGTTAGTTTTGCAACTAGAGTATTTCTTCTGTCTCTCTCTCTCTCTCCCAAACACACACACACACACACATTATGAATGCAACTTCCTTGTTTACATGAGCAGCATCTTTGCTTCATTAGAGAAAGTGAAGCCCCTAGATTTAAAGAGCCACGGCACAAACTGTGTAAGGACATCTGCCACTGACGTACTATAGAAACATTAAAGCTTACAGTCGATGAATAACATGAAGAGATGACACAGTGACAGCAGTTAACAAATGCTCTAAATCCATTGTTACAGTTGTCCCTGTCCAAACTGTACAATATCATATGTCTCCACACAGTCCTACTGTACTGTGATCACCCATCTGTATGATATTTCTGTTTGTGCGTGCGCTCCCTAAAAGGCAACCCTATCATGCCTCCTTGCACATGACCTGCCTGAATGAGCCCGGCTTGCTGAGTGACATGGTCACATGAGGGGACTAGCCCTTCCTGCAGCAGGGCTCAGTTACCTCTTCTAAGAGGACATTACTACTCTGTCAGCTGAATCTGCACACACCAGCACCTAAATGGAGGAGCGGCATGTTCACCCATTAATACCATCGTCTGAAAACACACGCATAGGGTTGTTTGTGTGACCAAAGTGACCTTATTCCATCATTGACCAGCAGCCCGTTTACACAGGGAGGTTGTGATGTGTTGCTAAATGGAGCTTAGTGCCTTGAAACAAGCTTTTACGTCATAAAAAGACTGAAGGTTTTTACATCTGAATACAATATTTCTTCTCAGAGATTATCAAATCAAATATCAAGAAAGGCCAATGACTGTAATAACTTAGAAACACACTAATACTAACCAGACGTGTCCTTTAATGGGAAATTTAATATTCAGTTTTTGTCAACAATCACTACTTTACATACTATTACAGCTGTGTTATATTGTCACTGAATGAACTGAATTATATCAGCTGGAAATGAAAAAATGTATTCCCTCAGGATTCATTAATTCAGGGTTTTTGTTGTCAGTGCAAAAGACCAAAGACACACAAAAACTATTTTTGTTTCTGGGTGGGACCTTTCGAAGTTTTATCAAACGATCACCCTATGTGACTAATATGCCGTTAACAGCAAGACTCACCTGACAGCTCGTATAAGTGTCTTCACGGCTGGGATAACCTCCTCCATTGCAACGTCACAATATGGTTTGTCTTCCACGCTGTCCTCCCCGACCCCCTCCACTGGAACAAGGACATTCAAAGACACTATTATCCAGCAGACATGCCTGTGAGTGTTAGTAAAATGTCTTGATGTGAGTGTGTTGACTACCGTCAGCAGGAGGTCGTGGTTTGAGGCGAAGTGAGGTGCGGAAGCGTGTGCGGTCATTAAAGCTCCAGCTCTTCTGGACCTTCCCCGGACTAGTGGCCTCTGGTACATTCTCCTGGCTGGGAGAGCGTCGGACCCCGGAGCCCGGGGGCAGCGGCGATGCCTTGTTCCGAATAGTTTGGGATGATCGAGAATTGTTCATTCTGATACGATCCCGGAAGCCCATTTTACTGCTGACAGTGAAAATAAAACAGTCAAACGTCCATAAGCAGATTATCATTTTCGGGTCATGACACCACCAAGGTTTTCTCAATGTCCATGCCTTTGACCTTCATGGAAAACTAAACTGTGTTATCCTGGGACTCTAGGGAGGCAGCAGAAGTACAGCCTGAGCTTGTTAGAAAAGAAATTGTTAGTAAAAGTGATGCAACGCAAAAAAAAAATTGATCTTCAACAAACTGATAAAAGAGGGAGACAGACATTTATATTACATGTCCATGAAGGGCAGACTGGCGGATTTATCACGGAGGCAGTTTGACCTGAGGTGCAACTTAAAATAGCTAAAAACTGATTGTGCCCTGAACATTTGCTTATTGAATGTGCTTTTCACAGCAGCTGACTGAAACCTGATTCAAGACTTGCAGCTCTGCTGGGATGATGTTCCATTGGACCAAGACACACCTCCTTAATCCCTTCAAAGTGCAGCCATACAAAAAGTGCTTCATTAGGACTAAATAGAAGCCATGGCGGGCCAATATGTGAGGCAGAGGAAAAATTGGCCAGTCTCTCTGAAACACTCCTAACGCTGCTGTTAAAGCATGCAGCTACTCATATGTTACACACTGTCACAGCTCCATAAGAAACGCAAACGTCATGCACCACAGAGCAATTCCAGCTCAGCCGTTCACTCCTACATGTTTACGATGATATACTCTTTGTTGTGCGTGTGTTACAGCAAGCCATTTAAATTAAAATTTAAATAGTTCAGGGATGTAAGTGGAAACGTACGAGCATGCTGAAATGTTTCAGGTTGAATGGAGGAAATGGGGAATATAGAGTGACAGACCTCTGCATGCTGTTGGGAAAGAAAGTAAATGATTTGGATGCATTCAGGGCCATAACTTTACTGAATCTTTCCAAATCATTGGAGTGGTATCGCATGCAAACAGATGCAATTTTTGCACTTTGAAACCTTTTAAAGCACAAACATTTCGATTTACCAGTTAGGTAACCAATACAGAATAGAACACCATGCTAAATTGTTCAATGTTTGAAAGGTCTTGGGTCATTTTTAATAAAATATTTAGTTCTCTCGTTTCATCTGAGATTTTCAATGAAAGGAAAAGACGTGCAGCTAAATTGTTGAAGTCATAAACCATCAAGGACTTTTGTCATGTTTTCAACACATGGTTTATCATGACCTTCAAGCCAGAGCAACCAAAATCAACACATGTCTCCACAGCAGTAAAGGATTCACTCAGGCATATGTGGATGAGTGTGGAGTCTATTTAAAGTTTTAAATGGCTACTAAACTCCACTGTTGCAGAAAAGATCCATTTTATCGCATCTGCTACAACAAGCCATCTTAACTGAGCCAATTCGTCTTTCTGAAACTGATTTTTTTAAACAAGAGCGCAAAAAAACTTCTAGCGATCCACTGCGTAGGCCAACAAATGTGTTGAGTGTTTCAGGCAAAGTGAATGGGATGCCTTTGTCATAGGAGGTGGTGTTATTGATCTGTGACGTTTTAGCGTGCCCCGTGCACAGGCTCGTTGCCATTGATACCTCTGCTTGCGGCCAGCGTGAATCCGGAAGAGACCCCGTTTTTTAGAAAGGAGTTGACTGGGGAGACACACAAGGCAGAGGGAGAGAGCGTGAGGGGAAAAGAGGAGTGGAAGGAGGTGGGGAGAGTGAGGGAGGACGAGAAGTTTGGGCACAACCAGGGTACTTGGTGAACCCAGGAGGATTAAGCCAGCGAAGGAAAAACCAGAGGAAGAGAGTGAGCAGGTGGAAGAGGTGGGAAATCTCAATAATCCAAACAGCATTTCTTTGGATTATGTAGCCACTCTGAGGATTGGTGGGTGGGGGAGGATCATGCAACAGTAGTGGGTGATGTTTTACCCGAGTATAATCATCAAGACAGCTCATTACACATCATGGTGTGAGAGCAGCTCCTCAAATCAAGGACATTTCAACCTACAAAACGTATGCACCAATGAGCCTCTTTCATCCAATACATGCACATGTCCGATATCATAATAATATGATAATCGGCTGTTTACTACCTTTCATGTTAAAGGTTTACGCTAACAAAGTTATGAATCATCGCAAACGTATTCATCCCAATTACGAATATCCTCAAATCAGCAAGCACAGTTCATGAAGAACAAACCTGCATGGAACTTCTGCCTTCCTGAGAACAGATGAAGGATGGAGGATGGATGGCATAGAAAAGACGCAATGGAGACAAAGGGAAAGAGAGAGGAAGACAGGAAGAGGAAATCGGTGAGTGAACAGTGGAAGGTGGTGGAGAATGAGCGAGGGTACGAGCTACGCAGACAAAGACGCAGAGAGGGGGGGGGGTCCTGTAACACAGTGGTCTCAGGTTAGATATTAGTGACATACTGTTAAACGCACAACACGTCCATGCGGGAAGCTCCGGCAGCAGTCAGCCTTGTTCTTTCTGCGTGTGTGCATGTGTTGAATGTGTTCGTCTGTATGCACCTGCTGTGTGTGAGCATGAGATGGGCAACTGACCGCCCGTCTGAATGTACCGTGAGGCTGTGAGTGGTGGCGGTGTGCGTACCTGTCCCCCGAAAGGTAGGGGGAGCTGTAGGGCCGCAGCCCAGACAGCAGCGTGTGGTAGGAGTTGTGGAGAACCTTCTTGGTGTTACGCTGTCGCTGGAGGTGACTGAACAGTAGAGTCAGTTCTCTGACACCCCACGTGCACAAATAAACAAAAAACAACAAAAAAAACAAAACATGACAAATGAACAAAAAGCAACAAATAATGGACACCTCACAAAAAAGCAAATCAACAGTCCAAACACTCAAAAGAAGAGGGATACTTGAGAGAAATAAAATATGTAAAAACTAGAAATTTTAACATACAGAAAGGTGAACATTGTGACTTGATGTAAATATAGAACAGGTGCATCTCAGTGTTTTCTCATGTTCCCCTCCTTTTAAGCAAATAAATTAGTCAAATTAATACAAAATATAAGAAACCACTGCGAATAACAAAAGTAATGAAACTTTATTTGAATAAAGGTGGCACAGGCATTTCAAAGGGCTAATAATCATAAATTAAAAATGGAAAAGAGAAATTAAATCCACCATTGCACTAAACTGAAAATGTTCTTCAAAATGATACTAATGTACAAGAAGAAGCAAAATCACAAAAAGGTTTTCACAATTCACTGGAAACTACAGATTTCTGATGTTTGAATCCATTCAGTGGTGAACATGCAAACAGATGGGAGCGCCTACCTGAACGAAGGCAACATGCTGTCGTAGAAGTACCAAGTCGCTGTGAGATAGGAGTGTTTGGCATCTGTGGAGTAGAGACGCCACGCGGCCTAAACAAAACCACAAATTGAAAGTTAACACCTTGCCTGGCAAATTCCATTATTTCAAAAAGATTTAAAAGTTCAGTGTGTAGAATTTAGTGATATCTAGTGGTGAAGTTGCATGTTGCAGCTGAACACCCCTCACCTCACCCTCCCCTTCTAAACATGAAAAAGAACCTATGGTAGCCTTCAGTCGTCATAAAAACTCAAAAGGTGTTTAACACTAGTGAAAACATCACAGAGATTATTTAATATTACATTTCTGACAATAGATCCCTTTCACCTCAGTTTTACACACTGAACCTTTAATGACCCATCATTTACCTGTATCAGGTTGGCAGCAGGCATCCTCCTCTTCTCAAAGTGCTTCTGTCTGTGCTGCTCCTGAACCTTCAAGGCAAAACCTGACCCCAGAATTCCCTGAGGGTCAGAGGTCAAGTTTTAGTCAGGGGTGAGACTCTGTCCGAGCAGACAGGATTCACTAGCAGGAGCTGTCAGGAGACTTACAGCCGGCAGGGCAAAGAAGGAGACTCCCAGAAGAGCAAAGCCTGCAGCCAGGAGCCGTCCCTGCCACGTACGAGGGGTCTTATCACCATAGCCAATAGTAGTGAGAGTAATCTGGGAGTGAAGGCACACACACACACAACACACGCACACACACACACACAATGATGGATTAAACCATCTACTGTGTATAGATATGGACGACATGACGGCTCCCAATGAGTCCCAATCACCATCTAGTGGCTGGCTGTAGTATAAGTTATAAATCCGGCCTCCTCCATGTTAATGGATGGAACATAAATTTAGAGAGTCAATGTCCCTTCATCCATTAACAACCTTCTACCTCATCCCTCCCCTCATCCTTACCCAGATCATCACTTTCCTCACTCCTTCATCCCTACATCCATTCATCCTTCCTTCCCTCACTTTCCTCCATACTTGCTTCATCCCTCCTCCATCCTTCCCTCATCCCTCTGTCCTCTCCTCCACCCTTCCCACTTCCTTTTATCCTCCCTTCATCTTCTCTTTCATCCTTCCCTCATCTCTAACCACACCCCTTCAGGGTTAGACAAGTGCAGGTATGGTTAAGGTTAGAGTGCAGTAAGTCTGCAGGAAATTACTGCAGGGTAAAGGAAATCAGTGAAATTTCCTCTGAAGTCATGGACATGTAGTGTGTCTGTGTGCAATATGCAGTACTCACAGTCCCCCACCAGAGGGAGTCTGCATAGGTGTTGAACTCTGAATTGACGTCTTTCTCTGCCAGGTAAACGAGGAAGGAGGCGAAGATAAGGACCAGGAAACCGATGTACCAGGCTGTAATCAACTCCTGAGAGAGAGAGAGAGAGAGAGAGAGAGAATCAATCACAACTGTCAGCAGCAGCATCTCCACCATCACAATCCCTCCCGTCATTACCGTACCACTATTATTGTTAATGGTCAAATTCCCAACATCATCATCACATTTGGCCTCCACTTTGACTTGGCTGTATGGTTCTGCTTAGACAGCTGATGCATCAGTTCATCATCACCACCTTCGAACTGTGATGTGCAGCCAACAGCCGTCAGCACAAATACTAACACCTGACTGCCAAAGACGAGCGGTCTATTGTGGCCCTGAGGGCTCAACACACTGACAGAAAACACTGCAAATAGACAAAACACATGAAAAAAAACTTAAGTATAACGCAAGTAGCACAGAAGACGATGTTTCCAGAGGACAAAGTGTGAAGAAAACTGGCAAAGGCATGTTTGTTGTCCATTTAGAAAATGGGAAAAATGTAAGAAAAACTGATGAGTGCATCAAGAACAGAGACTTGGAAGAATCAGGCAAAACAAAGTTTGAATCAACAATCTCAGTTTTAATGCAGGCAAAGGTCACACATGCAAAAGTTACAGAGAATCCCAATCGGAGATAAACAAAATCCCACAACTAGCAAAAAGTCAAAAACGAGAAAAAGGCAACAAAACTTACAGGGCGCGGGCAGCATCAGAAACAAAAACAGGCTGTGATCATACACTGATTGGTGACACGAGGATGAACGCTGGAGAGCTCAACATGGCACAGAGACAACGTGGAAGGGAAGTGCATGCGTGTGTGAGCAGGTGTTTATATACTGGGTGAGTGATTGGTGATGAGGTGCGGTGAGTGCAGAAGCGGGAAACAGAACAACAAGAGGAAGTGAAGCTGGAGTTCATGAACAGAGAGAGTGAAAAACAAAGTAAAACAGGAAGTGAAAGTTCACTCCAGACGTGTCATCACAACCCAGCCAGGTCACTGGTCAATCACTGGTGTCCCCTGGAAAAACTTTTGTTACTTGCAGCATGTTCCTGGTTGACTTGTTAACGCAACAGATTTCCATGAAATCTTGGAGAGTGGTGGGGAGTTTCTTTCACTTTGAGAGGTAGGGCATTTTCATTGATTTCTAAGGGGAATGATTCATGGATCTTTTGTGTAATTTGGTGGAGATCCAAGTAAAATTCTGGATCTAGTGAATTAAAATGCGGTTTCAAACGTGGACGGTTGAGGTATGTGAGGTATGTGCTCTGATGAGTGCAACTCTAGCTTGCATGTGTTTTCGACAGTTGCAGTGCGTTGAGCTCTCAAGGCCGCCGCAGCAGTCAAAGGAAAGTTCAGTGTTTTCGAACAATGAATGTTATTAACAGCAGTTCATCAACATTGAAAGGCATTCAGTTATTTATCCCATTAGTAAGCAGCCTTTTAACAACAGCCCTCGGCCTCCTTCCTGCTCTCATAATGCTGTGTAATACCACCGGCACTAGGATACTTATATTAATGTCCATGCAACTGGCAACTGTCAAATGAATTCTCAGATATAAACCACAGAAAGTCAATTTTGTTAGAGAGTGTATTAAATCATTCTTACCTTGCTGTGAGCGTAAACCACTGAGCCCAGTAGTTTCCAGGTTCCCCCCCTTCGGTCCATACGCACCATGCGCAAAATCTGCAGGAAGCGCATGCTCCGCAGGGCTGAGGTGGCAAAGATGTTACCCTGTGTGCCTGCAGCGATCACTGCCAACGATGCCACAAACACTATGAAGTCTGCAGGGGAGGAAATCAATCCACAGAGACAAAAAGATGAGATGAGGATGAGGCGATTTACCCAATTTCTTCACACAAGCACTCACGCACACACACTAACCTATGACACAGAAGGGCTTCCTGGCAAATCTCAGCCGTCCCTGCCATCCACGGTATCGGCAGCAGCAGCCAGCCGCCCAGATCCTGATGAAGTACTCCAACCCAAACACTACAATCATCACAAACTCCTTCATGAACACATACACAAAAAGAAAGAGAGACAGAAAGGTCAGCGACAACTGAGCGTAAGTAAACCTTTTTTACATTCTTGGGTGTGAACATGCTACCTCTCTGGTAAACCACCAATCATTTCTCTTGTGAGAAACTGATGTATATTCTTTTCATAAACAACATGCCTCATGATCTATGAAAACTTTGAACTGAACATATTTTTCATTGACCTGGTTGTTAAAATAAAAGCTAAAGTGTTCCAAAAGAATAGCCAATATATACATATTATTTTCTGGAGGATTAAATTAAAAGATACAATAATTAATAAAGATTATTCCATAACAGTCAAATACCATTAACACAACCCTCCGTCAGTCTTCTCTCTATCTCTGTGTCTTTATTACCTTCAGGTTTTTTGCACCGTACACGCAGTTGAAGGTGCACGGAATGTCATTAGAGCGAATGGTCGTGTAAGTAAAGTCCACTAATGGCTGATTGCCTGCTAATGGCTGGGTGATTGATCGAAAGAGTGAACAGCAGGAAAGTGAAAGTCAATCAAGCCATTAAATAACATGTAAAGATGAGCAAGGTGGGAAGAGAGAGGGGAGAGGGGGGCTGGGAGACGAAGAGCCGGGTTAAGAAAGGAGAAAGCGGGCGTCCATTACCTAAAGCAGCTCGAGCACGGGGGGGGGGGGATTATGGGATGGCTTTTAAGGTTAGTGGATCATATCTGTGATTTCCTGCACAGTCAACAACACCTGAATCCTCTCACCTGCTTACGTGGCGGTCTGTGCCTCCAAACAAAACAACACTCACTCAAGCACATAAGGATACACTGCAGGAAGTGATATGACGTGTATCTGTGTTTGTTTGTGAGAGAAATGGGGGGAGAGGAAAGCGTCTTACCAGGATGAAGAGGCTTTGGTTGGCGAACTTCTGATGGTCGGGGATGGTGGAGAAAACAGACAACACCAAGCAGCTGAAGACCAGCAGAAAACTGAAACACACACACACACACACACACACAGGGTCAGTTAACACATTTCAAAATACACACATTTGAAATAATAACACTCTGCATTACAGTAATCCCTAAAGAGAAGAAACACGTGGACTAAAAAAACCTCATTAAAATCTGCTTCGTTCACTCTCTGTGTGATTGACCAACAGAGAAAAACTAAATTGCAAATAAGCAGGAAAAGATTAGTTGATCCATAACAAAAAAAAACACAGCTGCTGACTAATGTCATCCTATTTGGTCATTGGCATAAGAACCAGAACAATGGAACCAGCTTTAGAGGTTTTATAGCTTAATGAAGGTACTGGAGACATGTTTGTTATTTTCCAGAAAATAAGTTAAAAGATTATGATAATAATCAATATTGGCTTCAGACAGCAGCATTGGTGTCTTTGGGTTTATGTTTGCTATGATGTAAGAAACCCAAAACACCCACTAACATTTATTGAGTACCACCAACTTTCTTGTTGTCAGTGAAAGTGTTAATCATTAACAGTTATATTTTCTGTTTTCATCATTCATAACAAACAAGCCCATGAAAAGACCAAAACCAACAGTCATCTAGTTTCTCCGCTCCATGCTCTTCCATTGTTCTCCAGAAACAATTCAACACATCATTCAGGCTCCGTTCAGCGTGTACCACTTCCCTTTATTGTGAGGGACACAAAAACTACATGTGGGATTTAAATCAATCCTAAATACAGAATGTGATGCAGTTAAAAGTTGTTTTAGTATATTACATAGACTTTTTTAAAATTGAAAATAGAATAGATGTTTATTTGTGAGCTAAATATAAAGATTTACATCTTCAGTCAAAACAATGTGGCTGAGAACTTGGGCTGTGAAAGGTAACAGATGAAAAATGAAGTAGCATGTTAAGATCCACATGTGTAGTTTTTTTATAAGAGGACTGTTATTATCAAACTACCGTCACTAAGAGAACGGAACGGTGAATCTCTCCTGGGACAGAAATGACTGTACCTCAGAAGTAATGGCCACTTCAATGTAGAGAATAAAACACCACATAAATTCTGGTAAATTGTGTCTCACGTTCGAGGTGCCCTCGTGTTTTATAAACAATTCATCTCTTCAGCGAAATTGGAGAAGTGACGAATCTCCGCTGCACGATCTCCATCATTAAATCAGTTTCAAGACGAGAGAGACGAGAACATAATTTACGTTTTCTGTTGAGCAACGCACTTGAAAAAAAAGGCTCTGTCTAAGATCTCTTTAAACTGCCAAAACTATTACCTCATGCAAATCTAGTTCACACACAGCTATCACACACACACACACACTATATATGTCCAGTATATAACTTTACACATCCATGAAGTGAATTTCTCTACAGATTACTGTAAGAGTACAACAACAAATATTCCTAGCTGTTCAAAAGGCTCTCAGCAAAGGATGATGTATTAACCTCAGAGTAAAAACATTCATGTCAGGAATGGTGAGCAGCTGAAAAGAATAATGTTCACACTTGTATAATAACCGCCACACTCTGTCCCTCTTCACCAGTGGAAAAAGTTATTGTTAGCTGTTGTTTCAGTGGATGTGTCGACAGCGAGGTTAAAAGGAGCTTCAGTTTTATGAGACAGCAGAGCAGATAATCAGTGGTAAGAATTTTTGACAGTGAAGATCAGAGGCCGGAAAATAGGGAATAAAACTAGTTAAAAGAAATACATGAAGATTTTACTTGATCTTTCTCTAAATAGCACACGCTCAGCACAGTAACTATTAAGTCAGGCAGAAAAAAGCTGGAAGCAAAAAGAAAGAATTAAGAAAAACAAAGTAAAGCTCCAAAACTGTGCCTGGTCTAATACATTTAATTTTACGACCTAATAAAGCGACGCAGCACTGACAGAGCTCTAATAGTTTGTTTTCATCTGCGTTTGTTTGTCTGTCTGTCTGATAGTTAGCAGGATTACCCACACACTGCTGGTGCATATCCCATATCTGGATGTAGTGTATGTCAATGTGTTTTCATAAGGAAATAGGGATGGTATGAGTATGTAAGAATAAGACATTCTGTGAAAACAACTATAAGTTACATCAATATGCTTTAGATAACAAAATCTAAAGTCACAGTAAAAAGCCTAATGGACCCTGGAAAACAATTTTAGGTGTTTGCTGACTTCATCAACCAAACCCCTCACGTATGACTCCTTTACAGCAGCTCCAACAAACCAACACACATCCTCAAGGTATCTTTGACCAGAGAATTAACGTATGAGATCACACTGTGTAAAAGAAAAAATTAAAATTAGAGCTGAGAGACAGAGGCAGACATGATATGCACACAAACATGCGGCAGCAGCATCGCAGCTTGTTCTCTGTGCCATGTGAATCCAGAACAGTGGGACAGAATTAGCCAGGTGGCAGCTGCTGCATGGTCCAGCTGGTCCACATGTCAGAGCCCAAAGTTAGAGAGCACTTGCTGGACGGCTAAACCAATTGTTGTGGCCTCACACAATGGTTCCCTTTCTGCACGATTAGTAATGCTATCAGCAAGTCGACCCTGCCTGTTTGTGAAATGAAATGCATTTCAAGCGCTCGCATTAAAAAGCTGCTTACAAGTACGCGTTTGAGTCGGAAGGAAGCAACGGTGGACAACTGCTGTTCTGAGAAACGGATACTGGACTGAGCCCAAAAAATATGCAACACACACACAAATAAATTTATACATTCAATTCCTAGAAGAGGAAACATTGAGAAGGACCCATATCCTCACAGGCCGAAGAGTGTAATCAGTGAAATGGTATACGATGTCTATCATCAGCTTTACACCAGAAATGATCGAGGACAGGAAGGAAGGATATGGGAGATCTACAAGATTGTGTGTACTTCGTCCTGCAACCTGCTTCAGTGAGTCACTGATGTGCACTAATGTTCTGCACTATTTAGATTCAAACACTGTAAAGCATATGGTGAATCTGAAAAGTCTGGGATCTGTTGTCTCTGCTCTTCATCTTAAACTGGGGTATAAAAACATTGTTTTGTGCAGACAGTGAATGAGCAGATGTTTTTCCAGATGATGAGACACTACACAGAGACACGAAGTAGACAAAAAAAAACAAGAAAGACATCGGACACTACGTGTGAATTAACAGTCATCCCCACATTACTCCTGTACATTTCTCAGCCCAGTGAAGTGTGCACAGGAGACAGTTTGTGGCTTGAGTTACAACACACTGATGACTTTCCACAATGTTTTTTGACCGTTCATCAGCAGAGTAATGTGCTGACTAGTCTGTCTGTCCCTTTTCACTAAATTAACTCAAAGCACCATGTGTATATCCATAAGGAGGCAGATAAGTTGGGGCAGCAGGTGGTTTCTCCCCCTGACTTTATGACAGGAAACAAGTTGAAGCACAGACAGCCACATCGACGACTCGGCCTCTACAAAATATAGCACAGTGTAGTTCATAAACCCTGCCTCTTTCATGTTAGTGGATGAGACAGGGACCAAACTAAACTTTTCACAAAGATGGTTTGATTCATTTTAGATCATCTTATCACACTGAAGTGTGCATTGTTATGGTAAGGTTAGTTTAAGAGTTACTCAGTATTGACTTTAACAGCAGAGGTTCCTCCTTTTTTTCATGTATTATTTATGGATGGAAATCTAAAAATGTCACCCTGTCTGATTACCTCTCAAAGAGAGCTCTTCATATGGAGTTAAGTGACCTGGGAACACCCGCCAAGTCGACGCCACTGCACATATCTGTGATGTTGTCCCCAACGAAGAAATAAATATATAGATACGCAAATGCATTAATAAATAAATGAATAAACGAAATAGATAAAGAGACATTTAGACAATGCATGAGACGTGGATGGGGGAGTCACATTTCTGCTGAGGGCACACTTTCTCCAGCATCCACCTCAATACCACCGTGCACCACCATTCTGTTCAGGGAAATATCAATTAGCAGCAAAGCATCAGCCGAAATCCAACAATTCAGCAAGGTTGGTCTCAGGAGGACATAGACCTGAGTGCTTTTACTACTTTGCATCAAAAACATATCTCGGAAGCATTACTGAGGAGATAAAGTGAATATTAGAAGGAAAAATACCTTCTTGTAAAAGACAATCAAAAATGACACTTTAAAATATCTCCCCTCATAGTGTCGGACGAGGGATGAAAGGAGGATAAAGATAAATGAAAGCCCAACTCATAATACACATAATAAATGGGCATGTTAGTGTTTAGATACACCAGGTGTGAATCCAAAAGGCTTTCATGCTTTATTTTAGAAAGAATAATGCATACACAGAATGTTTGACTTTTCTCCAAAAGCAGACCAAGTGTAATTTGTCTCATGGACATGAGAGGATCAAGAAAAATGAAAGTGCGGTATCACATCAACAAAGAATCAATCAAATTTTATTTGTAAAGCCCATATTCACAAATCACAATTTGTCTCATGTAGGCCTTAACAAGGTGCAACATCCTCTAGTATAGATGCTGCGTGCAGCTGAGCACAAGTTTACTCTGATTTAATCATTTACGTACATACACTGTACAGTGTGTTATCGTATGGACAGATTACATCCCATCTGCCTGTGTAAGTGCACATTCTTTGGCTAAAGGCATGTAAAGCTCCAGAGGGAAGCTGGTGGGGCAGACAACAAGTGCACAGCAGCCAATGGGGCAACCACTGCTTGTAATGGAGGCTGGACTGATGCTTTTACTGCTGTTTTCCTGTAAACATACATAAGTTAAAAGGGAGATCTCACATTACTTTGACTGGCCTGTGAAAATACGGTAGTGAGATAAATAGCTAATCCCAGGGCTAATAAACATATATGACATTGTGCATTGCTGCATTACACAGTGTATGTGTATGGGGTTAGCACTCCGGCAGCGTGTCTGACAGAGGAGCAGAGCTGGAGTGCCGGAGAATGCACCTTTGATTGAATCATCAGCGGATGATAAAGCAGCTATCAGTTACACACAACAGAGGAGGAGGAGGGAAGAGGACTGAGAGGGAAGATGCAGAGAAACAGAGAAACCTGACGTAGAAAGACGTGAAGACAGATGGATGATGATTTAAAGAGAAAGAAAGACCCGTTTGGAACAACTGCTGCAGCAGAGAAGGTGAGGGATGATGTCGGACATTACTTGAGAGGACTCTTGGGTCATGTCCCGTTACCTGTACCTGTGGAAGTGCACGTGTGTTTGCGGCGCCATCGCTGATCAATGAGGCTCTGACAACGGCTTTCAGTCATTGACCCACAATCTGTGCACAAATACGCAAACAACAAACACGCACACAGTCCGATAATTGAACACACACACTTGCAGTGACAGCTTCCCCAAGGACGTACACAGATAAATACATAGACCCGCTTAAACAAATGCACGAGGAAAAGTGCAATCAGAGACATATTTATAGCAGAGTCTGACAGACATGTGGGTGAGGTGATGTCACCTTGGAAATGTGGCACAAGAGTGTAACCACAACACACACAGACCTAAACAAAGCTCACAGCACCTTTTCTGCTCTATCTGGTGAGAAAAGGTGAGGTAGCAGAGAAGGAGAAGGAGGAGTGAGGGAGTTGTCAGCTGAGAAAGAGATGGGAGCGAGAGGAGGAAGAGGGGAGGAAGGTGGTAACAGTAGAAAGATATTAATAGTGTTTCACTCTCCTTAAATAGCGACTGCAGACAAAATGTGTGCAGGTAGAGTCTGCCGAGCACAGCACAGCTCAAACAGGCCAGTCCCGTTACTCCCCTCCCCTTCCTTCTTCTGGGATGGCAAACTTTTCAAGGCAGGAACAAAAAAAACAACGCAAACAAACAAGAGATGAAAAGTGCTTTTTCTCGAGGAAAGATGCTGACTGAGCAATTCACAGGCTTGAGTAATACCCAGGAAGAGAGAAAGGGTAGGGAGCGAGAAGGAAGGGAGGAGAGGAGAAAACCTGACATGAGGGTGTTGTGTAAAAACAACAGGAATGTGTTTGTGTTTGTTTGCACAACTTTCAGGAATATAGCGTGACCAGATCAATTATTTACATAACTGGGAGAAACATAGTTGTTTAATGAGCGCTGGTCAGAAAGCGCACAAAAGTGCAACCTTGGTTGTTTTCATCACGAGCGGTGCTACCGGACAATTCCACTAAAAACGACAACACAAAAGCGCTCTCCATGACACTTCCAATACAAAGCCAGATAATCACACACACACTAAAGAACAACTGCCATGCACACACTGTCTGTGTGATGCAAGAGTGACAATTAGACTGATACATTTTCCAAGCTGGTGAATGTCACACACACACACACACACTCATACACACACACGGTGCCTGCACTCACTAAGCCGTGTGTTACAACACGTCATAATTGAGTCCTTTGTTCCCAGCTTTTGATTCATTGAAACTTTTCCTCCAGTTGCATAAAACACCAGGTTAACAGAGCCGCTTCCTTTCACCGAAGGTAGATCCCTCTCTCTCTCTCTCTCTCGCTCTCTCTCTCTCAGTTAAACACAAACGACCTGACCCCTGAACACTGAGACACTGAAGTGTCACACAGGGTGCAGTGCAAAAAAATCAAATTCCTGTAGTCTTTTTATCAAGCGTGAGGATTTTGAGAATTTATTTCAGTGACTCTTTTCCAGAGATCGATGCTTACTGATTATAACAATTATGAGAAAATCCTTAAATTACAAGTGACATTTCCAATAATCATATTCTTTTGGATTTGGCTGTTTCCAGCAGTTTATAGTTCCAAGGCATTATTCCAAATGCAATCATGTTGGAGTAATTACACCACAAGAGGGAGAGAAAACACTCAAATCACAAACTCTCCTGGTAAATAATCTTACTCTTGGTTATACTGAATACATGTGAAAAATGTTCTCCAGTGTAGGAAGTTCATTTTTCTCATTCAAAATGTGAGCTCATGACACCACACCACCTATTTACCCAGCAGAATGTTTGAAGATTATAATAAAAATGTACTTTATAATTGTGTCCCTCGCTAAAAGGTTGCAACCAAACCCAGTTCACAAGCCTGACTCAAAGCTGCAGGGATCAATAATTGTATATTTACAATGGATCAAATAACTATTTTGTGCAGGAGGAAGCTCATAATGATCCACAGAGAGTTATAACTCGACTGCTGTTACCCTCAGCTCAACAGAGCCTGTTTCTGATTCTCCTCACTGCTCCCATCAGCCTCTTTTCTTCTTGCTTTCAGTGATAAACTCTGATGAACAGATTTAAAGGTGGATTCCACGTTGGACTTAAACACATTACTTTTACATTATTAATATGTCAGTGTTGTATTTACAGCTTGTGTTGTGTTTACATATCAGCAAAAATAGATAAAAACACCATCTAAGAGTCCACTTTTATAACTACTTATCAGGGTCAGAGGGGCTGAAGGTTATCCCAGCATGCATTTGGAGAACATTGGACTTTGGAACAGTAAGCCTCAGGACTCTAAGCAGTATTGTTTTGCCTGGTTCCGCTGAGCAATGACCAACTAGAGCAAAGTAGTTATATAAGCTGTTAATTATGTCAAGTCACTGAAATGTACAAACCCCCAAAGACCAAGAATGGCACTCAGTAAAGGGCATCCCTCCGCCAATTTATACAGTTCCCTTGAATTCAATCTCGCTGCACTAAATTTCAAACACTCTTAGATATCAGTTCTTCACTTGTGCCTGAAATGAATCTCAAAGATAAAGAGTGAAAATGTTGGGAAATGCCCCGATTGTTGTTAAAGAAAGTGAAAACCACCTAAAATTATCTGGAGGGGCTGTTTGTGAGAAAGCAATTGTCTAAGTCAGACACTCCAGACATTCTCCAGAGTTTCTCCTGCCAGACCCTTAACTCACAATGTCCACATGAGCCCATGGAAGAAAACAGCAAGAGCTTCTCGGCAGGATTCACAGTGAGTTTGAAAATGGCGTAAATCACGAACCTAACACGCGACAGTTGCAAAACTGAAAATGCAGTAAAAGATGTCGTCTTGAGGTCATCTGGGAGATTTTGTGTTGTGAACACGTCTGACCGGAGAATCTCCTGTTATGTGAGAGGCACACTCCGGAACATATCTGAACCCAATTGTGTGGACATTCTTCAGAGTTTATGTCTAAAAACCAACAAAACAAACAGAGAGGGGAGAAAACATAACACAGTGCATATGACCTTGGTGTCTTCAGTGGCAGCTCTGGTGCTGACTGCAGTTTGTCATGAGAGAATCCTCTTGAAACAAGTAACAGCAGTCATCTTGGAACGCATTAGTCCACAAGTATCAAAACAATTTTGCCAGAAAATTTGACGTGCAACCCGCAAAATGATCTTTCACTTGTTTTTTCTGGTGCCTCTGTGACAAGTCCCTTTAAAATATGTGATGCAGATGGTTAGAGACTGAAGAAATATGTGTGGTCACACATCTCACCAGTAAATGGAGAGAAATTACAGTATGACCACAGAGAAAGGATGAATTCATGATGTGGGGAAGACAGTGTCAGTGTGTGTTGTCTAACCAGACATGGATTAATCGTAATTGAAGAAAATTTCTCGTTGATTGGTGGAGCTTTGACCTGCTGGGAATATCAGATGTGTATGTTTTTTATGACATCAGTTTAATTCAGTGTGAAATCGCTCACATAAATTATAGAAAATGTATGTGATTACGGAAGAGGAGGCTAGTAAAATGAGACCATGTGTGATTTATATGCACAATATAGACATTGCTTGTGCATTAAACTGGAAAAAATGGGGACCATCATAAAGACCCTAATGAGCTTATAATTAGACGTGAACACTAAACCATGCACACACACACACACACACACACACACTCACCAAAGAGACTCCCACTGTAGCCCAACACAAACCAATGTGATGCTTTCCCTGATTCCTGCTCTTTGTAGCCCATGGACACTTTGTCAGTGGAGAGTAACTATACCGAGTCGGGAGCTGTGACCAGGGTGCAGGCAAAGTGCTGAGAGGGCATTGACATTTAGCTGTAGTATTGTTCCCAGCTGTGAGCCTATTAGCACCGAGTCTGCAAACCAGTTAGCAGGTGTATATGCAGCCATTTCATACACCAGGGCGCTTATAATATTGATATTTAACCATAGCAACCTCAACCAATATACCGGCAGAAGTCAGGACACTTCTCAGAGGTTTACTGTGGTGAAACGCCCCATGACACACAACACACAAACAGCTTACACTCCTTTACCCCCCGCCTTAACGGGGGCCACGACTGAATTTCAGGCCAATCATCATTACTCTGTGACAGGTCTAACCTTGTTACCATGGTAGCGGGGATCTCTGGTGATGGATTACGGAGGGTCAGCGGTAGCGCTCGGCGATTGAGAAGCAACTGGAAAAGAGAGTCACTCTAACATTTGAACTCGGGGTAATAGGATTGGCCCAGAAGTTAGAGGCACAGGAGTGTGAGAAAGTGAGCCGGGGTCACACATGACCATGGTGGTCAGCAGATCTGGAGGAGGAGCTGACGGATTTCCAGAGGACTTAATGGTCACAGTAATGTTAAGGGCAGTGTCACTAATACCAAGGTCAGAGGTCATTTAAAGAACTGTGCGAAAATGGTCAATCATCCCTACTCTTAGTGAAGATTTCTGTCTTATGTTTGGTCAGGCAATTTATTAGTCAGTCATTTAGTTACTTATTTAGTTATTTATCATTATTTACCTTCTCACAACAAAACCTAACAACCTAAAAAAACCTGACACATTCCAAAGTTAAAACGACATAAGACTTCTGTATATACTGTTGATAACGTCCCATTTGTTCCAGGAAGACAGATAAAATTGGTTGCAGCCAACAGGGAAAAGCAAAAAAGGTCCCAAGACAGACCTGGGACATTGAAATACCCTTGATATGTCACAAGCCACAAGGACCCACATAGATGTGTCCATAATCACTCACTTGTTGAGTTCAGAAAACGGTCGTCAAATTCTGTCCTTCAAAGTCCAAAGATTTGTCCTCAAATGTCCAGTTTTTTCTGACATCAGCTCAAAAATGTACGGTTCTGCAGTCAGAGGACTGAGGAAAACATTCATATTAGAGAAGCTACTTAAAACCTTACTCAAAATAATGAATCAATCCAATTTTATTTGTAAAGCCCATATTCACGAAGAGTGTGACATCCTCTGTCCTTAACCCTCATTAAGTGAACATCATTGTCATTTTGGTGACATTGAAATGTGTAGAACTGCAGAAGGGTACGTTTTGTATAAACAAAATGTGGCACTACTTAACGGGCTTTGCAGCAGTGCCACTATGTTTGTAGTCACAGCAGTGGCCCCTTGACCCAGAGACTGGGGTTCCTTCTTTGATGAACAGCCCTCAGTTGGTATGGCACAGACATGCAGTAGCTGTACGAGTGGTGAGTCTGTCTCGCTATCTGTCTGCTAACGTTATCTTTGCTGTTATTAGAGTCAAACACTGGTAGCCGGTCACATCACATGGAGGAGCTGTCCTGCGTTACTGTCAGTGTCAGCGCCACTATCCCTCCCTGTCAAAGTAAATCTTTTGTGTGTCTGTCTCTGTGTGTCTTGGTGTAACTGTGAGTCTCTTTATGTTATGTGTAATTTTGAGACAGAGTCCAGAGCCATTGTGGAGAAAGACTTACATCACCCTCCAGTGAAGCCCTGCAAAACCCACCTTCAACACAAACATCGCACACTCAGAGCGACTTTGCCAGTTTCCACAACCACTTTCCAACTGCGCCTACAACCACAAACAAAACATGTTGACCAATACAGAATATTTTTTAATTTTTGTCTGCTGGGACATGAAACAATATCACTGTCCACGAGAGTGGGGAAAAGAGCACGGCCAACAGGGATGTTTTGTTTTTTGTAGGATAAAGGGCGATACTCCTCACACACTGCTGCATGTGGTTACAGTAAATGTAGAGCAGTGTTTTTATCAAATGAACTGTACAGCTCTATCGCTCTGTAGAAACTGTTGACCCTTGTCCACTGACTCTGTATAGCAGCGGAAGTGTGCTTTTCAACACCCGGACTTGGTCTTCTGTTTGTGTAACTTTGCAGTCATAAATATATCATCTATGTACAGTGTGGTGGTTTTTTTTTTCTTCCTCTGACACACATCCCCCCGCGACTTAACAAGAACATGAATCTGGATCAAGAGCGTTCAAGTTTACATTTTCTTTCATAATACCAAGGTCCCTCCTTAACGTTAGAGGACTCGATACTCAAACATAAATCAGTGCCTCCCACATGAGATTTAGAAATCTGCTTTCAAGATATCAGTATCACAACAGACTGATTGTGTGGAGCAAATGACTGAACAGCATGGGAAATTATTTTTTAAATGTACCCATGTCTTCCTCTAACCCTCCCCTATATTTATAGTGCATTTTGGGCCCACCTTCCCCCCCTCACCCTTCTGTCATCTCCCCCTCTTCCTCTCTTTAGTGTAGTGGAGGCAGAGCCAGGACCAGAGTGGACCACTTGTAGGCCTCTCTGCCACACCCACCCCCCTCTTTAACTCATTACAACCAATTAGGTGACAGGCCAGGGAGGGCACAGGCGGATGAGAGCAGAGAGATAATACTCTTCTGAATTATTCATCCTTCTGCTAAAACTTCACCCAATACCTCCGCCCTGAACCCTGCTCTCTCACCGTAATGATCTTCCTCTTGTTGCTGCTCTCTTCTGTCCCTTCAGACTCTCACATGATTCTTGTCTTTGGGTACAGCTACAGTAAAGGCCAATGTGTACAAGTGTTTATATGCTTGCAGGAGGGGCAAAAGCCATATAGAGGGAGGAGACGTGATGATTTGAAAATATCTGGATAGTTTCAGTCACTTTCTCCTGAGAGGTATTCGTCTGTGACTGGAGCAGCTGTCTGAGCAATGAGAGGAGAAGGTCAAGCCCAGCTAACTTCCTCACCTGCACAAACATGAATAATGGCTGTGTGAAGCAGACCTGCTTGTTGTATTGTTGGCATCAGAAAGTGAACTTGTTGTGCACTGCCCCATTCATTCTTTAAATCTGAGTGGGGTGGTGGGTTTCATATATGCTGCACTTTGGTTGAAATATAGAGACAAAACCATAGACAAATTGACATAACGCACCATCAGAAAAATGTCTGTCTAGAAACTTATCAGCATCGAACAGAATTGTCATGTGAAACCAAAACCAAGCAGATTTACTGTAAACAATAAACTGACTTGAAACTTGGTTTGTACCATGATCCAGACTTTCAGGTGTAAATACACCCCAAGACAGAGGAATAGAGACATATAGTGTCATACATATAGTATGGAAATAGATGTATAAATAGAAGTGGACTGGAGGAGGACAAAGTAGTGACGACCACAAGGAGCGAGTATCAGACAGATAGATAATGAGAAAAAATAGTGGACACGAGACAGAAGGAGGCGGTTGAATAATGGATTGGACAGACCAGGGGACGGTGAGAGGAGGAGAGCCAGAATGGAAAAGAGGGAGAGAGAGATGAGGTATTGTCTGTGAGGTCTCATCACACACTTGCTGACATTGCTTTAATCTCAGGGCCAAGAGGAGACCAGAGGGCCCACCGTTGCACGCACTCACACACAGAACATGTTGGGACAGATTTACTGTGTCTTTGTGTGTGTATGAAACGAAGTTAGCCGAGTAACAGGAGTAAGAAAAACATCATTTTTGTATGTTATGATGTCAGGCAGGACTGCGTGACATCATAACATACAAAAATGAGGACAGTTTAATGTGACAGCTTTATGTTTTGTTTTGTTTGTTTGCATTTCACACTTTTACATCACACCATCCATCACATCATAATACATTTCTGTGCGTTCAACAGCAAAACATGTTTTGACATCAGCCGAAATGTTTTCACCATCGATAACACTTCGTCATGTTCAACCTCTGCTGTGGAAAAAAGGAGTGAATTAGTGTGATGTGAGGCCAGAGCAGCAACTCAGGAGGTAGAGAGGTTGTCTAGTGAGGGTTCTCCTTCAGAGTGTGCTGAAGTGTCCTTGAGCATGACTGGCACTTGATGCTGCATCATCAGTGGCAGGTTTGGTTCTGACCCGGCCCGTGTCTGCCCGCTCTCTCCTTATTTCACACTGACTGTCCTATCAATAAAGACGAAATGCACAAATAATACAAAGACTCTCTCCCTCCTGCTCTTCTTCTCCTGACTTTTTAAAAGGAACCTCTTTATGGTGTGTGTATCCGGGGCAGATAACAACAAAGAAAATGAAAATGAGGAGGCTTTGAAGTGGAAAGAAAAAACCGTAAGGAAAAGGGTAGAAAAACAGACAAATTGATGCAGATAAGAAAATGAGACGGCACAAAGTTCTTATGGAAATACAGATACCAGAGCTGAGAGGCCGAACAACAGGAATTTAAAAAGTAAGTGTCACGCGGGAATAGAGGAAGTGATGATGCGATCAACGGAAGCATTTGCGCAACCGTAAGACATTTTAGAGTAGGAGAGGGACGAATGCATGAAAAAACAATCTCACAAGAGTAGCGGGCAGCCTGTGCAATTATGGCTCCGTCATTAACATTTGATTATTGTTTATGCTCTGCCCACAGTGTCATTGGCCAGACATTCACACACACACACCACACACATATGCGATCTCCATAAACCTGCACATGCATGAATGCACACAAATTTTGCAAACGTGCACACACCAATCAAGCTCTTTTCTGACCGCATGCACCCGCAGCCACATAAGCAAAGGCGAACACACATACGACCATAGTGTATACACACATCACAAAGCGCTTTCTGTAGACGAGGCAGACCTTATAAATACTGTCCCACATTGTGATTTTGTTTGAGCTCCGTCTCCATGGCGCTGCTTCCTCACATGTTTATAGTGACGGCCGTTATAAATTAAAATTATCTTAACAACACTTAAGCTGGGCTGTGCATGAGGCCGCAGCCAGGCAGGGACAACAGCAGAAAGACACAGAAGCCTAACGTGGGCTAAGAGACAGAGACTGAGCAGAGGTGGACTATAGGACAGCGAGAAAGAAAGAACAGAGCTCGCCCTAAACTGAAAGTAAGATGTTAAGCAGCACTTGACAATTGTTCACTGGAAAACCTGAGGGTGTTTTAGTGATGGTAGGTTGTATGCATACACGTTGGGTTTGCCTGCACAGTCATACAGCCTCCTCATCCGGAAAACTTATATCCACAGTGCTCATGTGCCTGATGGGCTTCAAATTACAAACACGTGGACAGAAAAAAAAAATCTAATACCAGAAAAATAAGCAGCCTGAGAGACACAGTGATACACAC